AGAGAGAGAGAGAGAGAGAGAGAGAGAGAGAGAGAGAGAGAGAGACCGAGTGGTTGCGCGTTAACCGATCGTTTATTTGAAAGTTATGCTGGAATAAAACTATTATTACAACACCGTAGTGAAAATGTCTGACGCGATAAGAAATTCCCCGCGAAATTTGTATCGTTCTATAATAGCTGACAGCTTTCCATGAAACGCACTTTGCTGATAGTATTAACAAAGACCAACAAAAATATCTCCTATATAATTATACCACGCTGTCTTTTACCACGTGTAATGGTAAACTGAGCATGTTTGCATCCAAACATCGTAATTCTCTAATACAGCTGCCCTTGTTTCGTCCCACGATAACATAAATCTCATAACAGATAGCAACAAGGTAATAAATAATTTCGATTGTTTCTTTCATGGCATGATCTTAATGGAATTTGTTTTATAGACGTATTTATATCTGAGAATCGCAAGAAAACAGAAAATGATTGAATGAAAAGATGAATGCCAGCACTTAAACCTATTTCCCGTTTCCTCTATTTCATCAGGAGTAAGATAATATAGATCCTATATTATCTTACTCCTGATTTTATCAATACAAAAGCTCTATCACTCGTTCACGCGATTAATTGAATCCAGGTGCCGCCACCGACTAGTACTGATAGCACACGCCGTGTCACTTTCCCCCGGGCGTAGACGGACGGTGCCTTTACGTGGCAGCACTAGTCACTTCGTACGCTTCAAAGTCCAAATCTTCTACAGAAAGATTCCACAGTCATACTTCCGTGCTAGACATGGCCTTATTTCTCTGATACAGACAGTAAAAGAGCGAGAGATTCAGAGTAAGAGGGGCAGAATTTCATGTGTATGCGGGAGGGAATGTGTGAGCAACAGATACAGAAGGAGGAAGGTAGATAGATAGGTAGATAAATAGATAGATAGATAGATAGATAGATAGATAGATAGATAGATATATAAATAGATAGATAGATAGATAGATAAATATATATATATATATATATAGATAGATAGATAGATAGATAGATAGATAGATAGATAGATAGATAGATTAACGTGTTCATCAATAAACATGTACTGCATGATGTATGTAGTCTGCTTTCGCGGCGACGTGTGACCAGTCGTTCTGAGTAGACAGTTCGCTGGAGGTGTCACATGGTCAGCTCTGTCGAACGCTTGCTGGTGGCACACTGGCCGTGCAGGAAGACGGCTGAATCCCAGCTAGCTAGGCCCGCACTTCCACGAACCGTTCACTTGATTGATAATATATTGGCATTTTAACGATGCGAAGCAGTACGTTGCTATCTCTCTGCGATTGGGTGTTTATTTTTTCGTTGTGTGTGGGTGTGTGACAAGGGCTGACGGAATGGTTGATGCTTTTTGTTCGTTCTGCTTTTGTGCTAACACGCATTTGTAACTATGGTCATGTCCTACACGGGTGAAACACGCATTTGTAACCATGGTCATGTCCTACACGGGTGACGGGATCTAGCCGTTATAGCCTATAAGGACTATACCAAGCACAGTAACGCTGCCTGAACTAACCTGCCCGTGTGTACCGGAACGATTTACCATTTGTGTTTTCAATTTCTATTCGTGTATTATCATGTGTATGCCTGTAATTGTGAGTTGGGACGGCTGTATTACGCGAACAGTTGCATTATGTGATTCCTAAGTTCTTTACTTTGGTGTATGTGTGATCACTTGGGTATGGATAGTATGTGAGAGAGGCAGCGACGCAGCGAGTGACAGACAGGGAGATGAGAGAGCGAGAGAGCGAGAGAGAAGGAAAGAGAGAGGGAAAGAAAGAGACAGACAGACAGACAGACAAACACTGTCAAACAGAGACAGAGACCGAGGCAGAGAGGCGAAGCAAATAAAAGAGTCAATACAATCAGAATTCTCATCTATCTTTCATCATCTTCAAACAAACGTTGTCCTTCTCTTCGCCGTACTGATGACGTCACACTTGTTTTTTTCAATTTTACGTTTCATGTGAACAAAGTAATGTCGGCAGCTTAGCCCTATCAATTAGGAACGACTAACCGCTATGTTAGCCGTGAGTGGAGATGAAACATCTAGAAGCTCTCACTAATCACCAGAATCGAACGAGGCAGGGGTGCCTGCAACAATGATATATTTCGTGACAATGTCGAGGTATGATGAACATAGCGTGATGTTTGCGAGATGAAAATGCCCCCGTACTTGCCATACTAGGCGGAATTCGATAAAAAAATGTAATGACCAGTAACATACAATCAGGAGTGCAAAGAAATAGAGTAGAAAAATACAGGAGAACGTAAATAGAGTAAAGAATGCATGAGTGCAGGAATAGAGCGCAAGAATACTGAAGAAAATGAATAAAGTACAAGAATCCATGATCACATCAATAGAGTACACGAATAACAGGAGTACAAGACTAGCGGATTACATGGATAGAGTACAAGAACACAGGAGTA